TATATATATTCTGGTGCCTTTTTGAGACAAACAGCTGATATCACAGAAAGATCTTCATAAAATATCAACATCTGGGAGCTTACCATAAAGGTCTGCTGCTATTTTACTTCTATGAAACAACACAAAGTGAGTCATCACCAAGTGGACTACACATGGATTGTATGAATGATTCAGTCTACTCACTATTTTATTGAAAAATTAATTCATAATAAGAAAATACACAGAGTTAGAGGCTCACTATTTTCTTTGCAGACAAGCATATTTTAAAATATTCTGAGAAAATCTGTAGACATTATAGTTTTTTATTAATATTATTATTAATTTTGTCACAGAAACCAGCATTGTTCAGTTCATTTTTTTTTTTTTTGTCTTGGAAGATCATGGCGCTCACCTCCGTGTTTTGCTTCAACACATAAAACGACAGCCTCCATAGCAATGACCCATAATTCCTCTGTCCACCATCCAGCCCTCGTTATATCTGCAAAAGCTGCTGCGTTCCGTGTCGTCTCGTCCTCAGATCAAACTCGGTGAACGTTGCCAAACATGAACCTCTGATGATTCCGATTTTCTTGTGCAAGCAGATATACGGATCTTGATGTAAATCAGAGCACCAGGAGAGATAACATCTTTTGTTTTGTCTGAGGATAAACTCCGCTTGTAAAGAAAATAGCTTGCTTTTGTATTTTATGCGAGCGCGCACATACATAAAATAATCTTTACTTTCCATTCAGTTCAGCTTTGACATTTTCTCCCTGCACCTAATTTGTCTAGATGTTTTGTTTTATATATATATATTTCAGAAAAGATCTTTTGAAGAAGGCAAAGAGATGTTCAGTCTGTTACTTGGCTTTGTATGAGAAGATGTTTTTTGCACCGATATTTGGAGTAAATAACATTTTCAGTGAGCCCCCAGGAGCCTCCCACGCCTCAAAACATCTTTATTTACTACATCATTATCATTATAATGTATCTGAGTTTTACTTTGCTCTTACTATTTTTTTCCTATGCTGCTCACCAACCCTGTGGAGGGCATTATGAGCAAAAACACTTTCAAATAGGTCAGCAGAGAGAGCAATCAGCTGCAGCACCATCTGTCCCTCTAATGACTACCTGGCAGCCCGGTTGGCTGGAGAGGCTCCACAGCGAACGTTCTCATTAAAGTCAGCATTTTCACAGAATCTGAGCGACTGATGATGCCTCATGAAGTTCATCTTCTTGTTTTTACCACACCAGAATGGTTCCTGCTCCTGTCTTGGCCTTTTTATTTTTTAGAAATCAGAAGATTAAAACTCTCTTATTTTATGATGGAATGCAGATCAACCGATGTGTTTCAGGTTAATGTAATGTGCAGTCACATACAAAATGTCTGGATTAGATTAGATTAGCGACTACCACATTGAATTTAAGATCAGTATCTGTTAAACTGACTTTAATCAAGTAATTTGTGTTAGCCGTTGCAACTCAACAAACCTTCTTCAAACATTAAAATGAAATCAACATTTACTGCATCAACAATGGATTTTTTTTAAGGAGTTCATAATTCAAATTTACTTGATTTCAGTTCACTGTGTCTTTATTTGTAACACTATTAGTATGTATATGACGTAGCCTGTACATCCTTTGGATGTAGTTGTAAGCAAATTTGTTAATGATATTTTTGCATGTTTTTATTAAATTAATTCAACCTTTATTTATACAGGTTAGTTTCAGTGAGCCTCAAGGACTCATTTACAAGAAGGACCTGTTTTAAACAAAGAATGATGACAACAGTGGACAATCATAAAGTAAGGTATATAAATAAATAAAAAATGGAAGAAAATTATATTGAAAAAGCAAAGCAAAAAAAAAAAACAGCTACATTTATACATTAATACATAATAATAATAATAATAATAATAATAATAATAGTAATATATGTATGCCCTATAAATAAATATAATAATAATTATTATTATATTAAAATACATTATAATTCCAGACTAGAACATTTTAGATGCTTTTATGTGCCTATTCCAACATTACAGTCTTTTTAATGCAACATATTGAAAATTTTAAGTGCATTCTTCATGCACTTGTGTCAAATTGAGAGTACAGCCAAGAATCAGGTTCAAGTTGTGTGTAAAAATTAAAATTGAGGAAATGCACGACTAACATGGGCAGAATAAACGAGAACACGTAGCAGGGGGGCGGGGGGGGGGGTTCATTGGCCCATCCATGATAGATTTTTAGTTTGATTTGGTTGATTAGTATACAAATATGGTTTAGTTTGGATCAAAGTGTTGATAATGATCGGACAGGTCTGAGCTGGACGTGATGATGTGTGCCAGAGCCAAAGCTCGGACAGCCCTGACTCAGTTCATCCTGCCTGCTAATGCTAAAAATTCAGGGCGCTCTCTGTAACACTTGACACAACACTGGAAGCTGTGGTTATTTGGCATTTGCAGGCTCGTACTCATGCAGCTGTGGTGAAAATTATTAGATGTAGTATTGCGGGAAAAATGTCAATAAATTATTTATTTATTTAGTTAATTACTTTCTTTATCCAGCATATTTAGAATTAAATATTAAGCAAAGCATGTTTACAAGAATATCTCTAAATATAACCAAAATATAATTTGCTTCTCCCGATTTATGTTAGCAAACCAACAATAGTTTAGTGTTGTTAGACCGTCATAAAGAGTTTTGGTATACAGTTCAAAACCTATTTACCTCTAAAGATAAATTACTATAATTAAACAATTAACCACTAAAGTGCATTAATATAGTTGCATTATTACATTTTGCATTCTTTTGTAAGTAATGGCAACAACAGGGCTGTTTTTTTGTGATTTGAGGGATAACATTCATTTTATATTATTTAGTTTTTGTTTTTTTTCCAACACTCTGAAAGCTGAATATCTCCACTAAATAAGATTAAGGCCCGGTTATTTTGACACACGCTTTAAAAATCTATGATTCATGTGCAGAAGATCCGATTAAGAGGTGACTAAAAGAGGCTGTGTTGAGGCCATTGTGATCATAGATTTATTATTCCTATATTCAGAGGGTTTAAATGCCATTTTTTGGCTTACCTCATTCATTTTATTTGAGTTAGTTATTCCCAACCTCTCCTTTATCCTCCTGTTTGTACCACATAAACTGATCTCAGCTCAGATATTTTGAAGGATTTCTCAATTCCTGGAGGATGGAGGTGTGAGGGGGCTTGTTGGAAGAGCTGCAGGCAGGAATGCAATAGTGTGTCCTTTGAGTCTTTTTAGCACCTGTGACAGCTGAATAGGGGCATGACTCATAAATCCCAAAGTGTAACACTAAATTATGTCCAGGATGCATTAAATTGCAAATAAATTTGCTGTTTTTCAGGTAGAAATGATTAAAAAAAAACACAGCTTCATATTTAAACCAAGCAATCCTTTAAAATGCAACTTCATGTGTGACATTTGTTTAAAATTTCATCATCTTCCTCTGTAATTGCCTCCTCTGCTCAAAATGGAGGCGGGAACTGAGATGCCTGTAGAGGAAACAAGAATGAGTAATTTAGGGAAGAAATAACTTATAATAATAATTATTTTGTTATTTTTTTCCCTAAAACTGAACATCACCCAAATGCTGACCGACTTTATGAAATCTATTGTCATTTATTTATCTACAAATCCAAATGTTTCATGACATTTAAGCTTAGTGGTGTCTCCATTAGTCTAATTTTATCATGACAGATGTAATATAAAGGGAATAGGCTAATATTGTGTTAGAAATGGAGACAGTTTAAAAGCAACTACGTTTCTGGCCAAGGACTGAATGTAGAAGCCAAAGTTTGGAAGCAGCTGCTCATTAAATAGTCTGTAGCTTTGTGTTTTGTTTTTGAATAGGTAATGAGTTGTTTATCGCCTGTTGCCAAAGGCTAAAGGAATGTGTGTCTGTGTGTGCATGTGCAAATTCGTTTATCTGTTAGCAAGATATGTCAAGAGCTTCCAGACAAATTATATTGAAACTTGCAAAAAATTATCACTGAATGAACATCAACAACTCTTTAACAGTTGGTGTCAATCCAATTCAAGATGGCCACTGCATCCAAATGACCGTATTAATCACAAAACTGGCTGTAGTTCGATCAATTCTGCAGCTTCTGACCTTATATTTGATGTGGGAACAGTTCAGACTGATCCCTTTACATATTTTGAGCACAGCGCAACATGCACAACTTCTTTGCTTATTTTTTTTATTTTTTATTATTACCTACCATGACCATCTGTTAGCAAAATATTCCCTGAAACACTGGACAAATTTTAATGAAACTTGCATTGAATAATCCACAACTGATAAATCTTTGGAGTTTATCCAATTCAAGATGGCTGCCGCAGGCAACTGAAATTAGAAAACACCAAAATGGGTATAGTTCAGTCAATTTAGGAGATAGAGGTAACATTTTGTGTTTCTGAAAGTAATTTAAAGATATGTTTAGTGCTGAACAGGGAAGAAAACATTGACATTAACCCACTGTGTCAACCATGTTTGGCTGTTAGCAAAATATCTC